ATATTATGAAGACGACTTTTATTTCAGTTTCAATTGTTAATAAGTTTTTTAACTATAAGTTTCTCTTTGTTTCCATGTTTTTGAGTATCCATGCTGTTTAAAAAGCTTAATATAAATCAAAATTGAAATTGAAAGTCGTCTTCATTATATTAATATAATCGCCTATAAACGATATTTTTGAGCAGGAAATACATGTAAAACTAACGTACGTTAGCTTTAATGTACCCTATCGTATTTCGGAAACTCAAACTATTGTTAAGTAGATAGAAAGATAAAAAATATAGAAAGATAGATAGATAGATAGATAGAAAGATAAAAATATTGAAAGATAGATAGAAAGACAAAAATATTTTAAGATGGATAGAAAGATAAAAATATAGAAAGATGGATAAAAAGATAAAAATATAGAAAAATAGGTAGAAAGACACATTGATCCATAAGTTTTAGAATATAAACTAAGACGGGGATGAAAATAGATGAATGACTAAATAAATCGCTACATAAATATGTAGGTAGTTGAATGAATAGTTAGACAAATAGACATTTATAAAGATAGATGGTAAATATAATGTAGGTTGATAAATAGATAGAAGAGTAGATAGATAAACAAATAGATAGATAGATAAACGAAGAGCGGGAGTCTCGAATAATATTTTAGTTCTCTCAACACTTTGCTCCCGGAGACATTTATCTGTTATTAACAAAAAAAATACACAAAAAACTAACTTTTAAAAATAATACGAAAAAGTATATCAAGTCTCAAAATAATTCAAATAAGAATTGAATCAAAGCAGACGGTAAAATATAAAGTTGATTTCAATTTTATTTTCACTTCAATTCAAAAAAATAATTTTGGAAATATCCTAAATTTTTTGGAGAAAATCCAGGAACCAATCAAATCTTTACAGCACAAGTACTATTAAGTACTGCCAATTTAACAGCACGATGGTTACACGTGCATTATGAAATTCACGATGAAGTGAGTAAGAATGATAAAGTACACAATAGTTTCATAAAAAATGTTATTATATATACATTGGAAGAAAATCTAAAGTTAGCCAAATCATCTGATGAAAAGGCCGAAAATTGTCCTTTTTCTGACCCTTAAAAAATTGAACACTATATTCAGTAAATAGAATTAAATTTCAAAATGAATTTCCCAGAATTAGAGAGAGTTCCATTGCGAAAATCTCTTTTAGTTTTTCAATTCACAGAACATAGTCTAAACTAAACGAAAGCCTCTTTATAATATTAATTACCAAAATTCTAAATTACAAAACTAAAATATTAAAAACAAAAAAAATTCTTTAAATTGTACATAAATCCTCTCCAATTACACTTATTTCTGAAAAACATTATCTTTCAGCTATATATACTTTGCTAGTCTGTCTGTTTGTTTGTAACCGATAAACGTTAAAAGGGCTGAACCGATCCGGCCCAAATTTTTTGAGTGGGACCTCACATGACCCCAAGGAAGGTTTATGGACCATCAAAATATGAAAATAAATTCCTGTATCACAGTTGGAAATTGTGTCTTTTTAAAATGATCAAATTGGAAAAAAATCCGGCAACATTTGAAAATAATTTTTAACACCCGACTTTCAGAGCAACAGTTAAAAGCTGAAAGTACAATTAAAAAATAAGTCTAAAAAAACCTTCCTGGGCTTTGAAAAGAAACGGATGAAGGCTTTGTGAAAAAATTATAGACAAATATAAAAAGAAATATAGATAGATACATCGATAGATAGATAAATGGACAGATATACAGATAGAAAAGATAAATGTCTAGATAGATGAATAGATCGATATAGATTAAAAAGAGAAATATAGGAATAGATAGATAGATGGACAGATAGATAGACATAAAGATAGATAGATATTTGGATAGATAAAAAGATAGATGGATAGACACATATGCCTAAACTAAATGTTGTTTACATTACTTTTCAATTCAGAAAATAGTTTGAAATAAAATAAATAGATTAGAAAAATAGCCAAAACAAACAGAATAATGATACCCCTGCAATCCCTACTCACGTTAATCATAGCTTCAGCATTAAGGAACTCCATGAGGTTTTGTCACAAACTCTTAATTTATAAGATTGAAATATCAAGGTTTACACCATCTAATTCTCAGTTTCTTTTGTGAGAGGGCGAAACTTTTAATTTTGAATCGGTGATTTCCGCCTCAACGGTTTATGTTTGTACGTTGGAGATTCCACGTCATGTAATTTCAAGTTATGCTTTATGTACACAGCTGTACCCTGAACAACGTTGTCTGATCGATTAGGCATTAATGAAATATCAATGATTTTTCTTTAAAAATCGGCTATTTTTAATTATGATAATTTACCACTTTTCAAGTTAATAATCGACGGTATATATCTTCCACATTCTTTATCAAAAAAGGTTTAAGGGGTATTGTTGTGAATCGTGCTTAACCCTTAGTGATTTCGACACCAGTCGATTTAAACAACGCTAGACACCATGCTAGAACATCTTGCTTTAATCATGAACATATGTATGTGAGGCTGTGGTAAATTCCCTACCCCATAAACTGCTTTCAGTCAATCCAGGTACAACTCCCAAATTATCAATGTCAAACACTGGCAGGATATATAAGCTTCAATGTCAACACGGACACAAGCAAACAAACTATCAATGCCAAACCAATAGGACGATCTTGTAGGCTTCATTGTCAACACGGACACAAGCAAACAAACTATCATACTAAACCAATGGGCACGATCTCGTAGGCTTCATTGTCAACACGGACACAAGCAAACAAACTATTAATACTAAACCAATGAGCACAATCTCATAAGCTTCAAAGTCAACCAGACATAAGCACACAAACTATCAATGTCAAACCAATGGGCACAATCTCATAGGCTTCAATGTCAATCGGTCAAAAGCACACAAACTATCAATGTCAAACCAATTAAAAGTCCAGCAAGTCTTAACTTAAAAACCCATTTTTTCCCATTAACTATAGGTTTTTAGATTTTACATATATCTTCTACTTTTGTGTTAGGCTAGATGTACAGGGTGTCCCAATAAACATGGGAATTCAGGGATGAATTCTATATAGTCTTTGTTATGAATTAGCATTGTAATGGCTAATTTCAAAAGCCATCATATTATTATGTCTACTAGAGTTTATTTGATGAAAACGGTAAATGGCTGTAAATATGTGTCTATATAATGTATTTGCAAGATGAACAGTAAAGAGTTCACTCTGCTTGTATACTGTAACTTTCTTGTTCCACTATATGCAGTCAAAACCTAAACAAACAAATTGTAAACATAGCAGACGAAAATATTACGGATTACAGCGTTCTCAGTAGGTATCACTAAATTAAATCAAAGAATTATTTAAAAAGACGATATCGAATTCGTCACTGAATTCTCATGTTTATTGGGACCCCCTGTATGTTAAATATTAAAGTACATAAAGTCTATTTGACAAATTTTAAACAAAATATCAAAATATAGCTGAAAATATTCCATTATTAGAGACAGGATAAACTTTGTTGTATTTAGTTTTAGGGGGGGGGGGGGTTAGTGTTTTTATAGAGCTTTGAACCCATGTAAAGCTTAGCTGTACACTGTTATACTGACAGTGTACCCTAACCTATGCATAACAACAAAAATATATTGTTTGACTTAATTTAAATCTGTAAAAATGCAAATTTGGGTATACATTCTTTTTTAAATTAAAATTGGTCTTTGGAATATCCTTCTTAATGGAATTTACGGTTATTTTTTTTGAGACACTCTGTATCTGAAATGTTTAGGTCTGCAGTGTCAGATTGTGTAAAGTGTATATTTTATAGAATTTTCGTTTATTATTCTTGTCGATACAAGAAGTTACAAGATTCTACTGTCAAGGGGTCTAAACATTCTTTCTAGGGTTTCTAGTAGGGTTCACACCATTCCGGAAAATATTTGTTTTTCGGAAACGTTTTTTTCTGGCATTCGGAACTTCAGGACATTTTCGGTGTTGGTTAAAGGAATTGTAAACGTAAGGTTAAGCGACTCTCTATCAAAATCAATAAAATAAATAGACTCTATACTAAAGTAACATGTGCATTTCTACTGCAGGAAAAAAATAAGAACGATCAGAATTAACCACTCTTAAACATAGAAAAAAAGTCTTCCACATTATATTGATCAGATATTTAACAAGGTTTCAAGGAAACCTTTGTAAATTGTGGCATGGCCATGAATTTACACGTACAGTCCCTTTAAGGAGAAGTTTCGGATTACGGAACTGAATTTACAATTGTTTAAGAATAAAGTTACGTAAGTCTCGGAAGATTTTTAGTTTTCCGCAACGTTATCTGGAAATTTTCTGGTTTTTAAGACGTTTTACTTCTCCCTAACGGATCCCGGAACTTTCAATATTGTCCTTAGAATACTTTGTCTTTTTAAGTTGACACAAAAATTCGATTTTGGAAACTTAGAAACTTTAAGTAGATACTACAGCATTACATTTACTGATAGTTTTTGGTCGGTTTTCAAACATTAAAAGTTTTTAGATTTTTGTTGACAGGCTCCTAAAACATGTTGACCGGCTCCTAAAACCTGTTGAACGGCTCCTAAAACCTGTTGACCGGCTCCTAAAATATGTTGACAGGCTCCTAAAACATGTTGACAGGCTCCTAAAACATGTTGACAGGCTCCTAAAACATGTTGACAGGCTCCTAAAACATGTTGACAGGCTCCTGAAACATGTTGACCGGCTTCTAAAACATGTTGACCAGCTCCTAAAACATGTTGACCGGCTTCTAAAACATGTTGACCGGCTCCTAAAACATGTTGACCGGCTCCTAAAGTATGTAGACCAGCTCCTAAAACATGTTGACCGGCTTCTAAAACATGTTGACCAGCTCCTAAAACATGTTGACCGGCTTCTAAACTATGTTGACCGGCTCCTGAAACCACTTTTAGGAAGATCTTCACAAATTGTACAATGATGAAACTAAACTTACAGAAAAATGTCATATTTACGAAGAAGTAAAAGGTCGATTGAGAGCCATAGTTCCTGTCCCTACACACTGCAATCAGCTGATCATCCACAGGAAAACCGGTTTTAGATAAACAAACAATATACAAACACTGGGACCCATAGGAAGACGACTTTTAGACTCAAGTTATGATTTTAAATAGTGAACATGAAGCACAGCAATTGTTCAGTGTTTACATAAAAAAGGAGATCATATGAAATTTCATTTTCATAATAAACAGTTCTCTGGTGAATAGGTCTTATATTATTTAATGATACATGTAATTTAATCCACGACAAAATGCAAGTAGTTTCATCTTTGAAAATCCATGTAGTTTAACCCCTAACAATCCCTTTAGTCTAATCTTTGACAATCCTCGAAGTGTAATCCTTGACAATCCTTGTAGTTTACTCCTTGACAATCCATGTAGTTTAATCCTTGACAATCCATGTCGTTTAATCCTTGACAATCCAGGTCGTTTAATACTTGACAATCCATGTAGTTTAATCCTTGACAATCCATGTCGTTTAATACTTGACTTTCTGTGGTAGTTTAATTCTTGACAATCCAATTCCATTTCTGAAATATTGAGGATCCATGACGTTTTATTCTTAATCTTTAAGCACTCCTCAACTATATCTTACAATCTTAGTTTTGGTTAAGATTTGCCAATCCATTCTAAAAAAGAAATTTTTAATAAAGTCTAATCAATTTAACTGTCACGTTTCCCCATAATCACGGTTCATTAATTTTAAAATAAGAGAGTCTTATAAAATTAATTTGAAACAATTTAATATTTTTTGTGAAAACTAAAATATGTTGAATCAGCAGCCGGTGAAAAGAGACTCGTCAATAACAAGTCAGAATTCTAGGTAAAATCCTAATTGGAAGAAAAAAATGTTCTAAACTTTCTTAGAAAATGTCTGAAAAAAATTACATAAAAAAGGCCTAACCCACATAAAAAGCATCTGTAAAGAACGCATCAATTATTCCAGGAGTTATACCAGGATTATGTAGTGAGCAAAAATGGAATTGACTCTGTAAAAATGCAGTTATAAAGCTCCTCTATTGCAAATTACAGCACAAACACTGTATTGTCATGGCGGAACACAGCAGATAGAATATATATGTGCAGCTAACAAAGACAGGAATTTCCTTGAAAAAACAACTTGTTCAACTAAACTGAACTTGTTCCTAAACTGTCAATTTTCAAACCACATTTTTGCGGAAATTTGGTTAATTTTGCGAAATTTTCGTTCAATTAAAATCATATTTTTTTATTTTGTATCGTGAAGAATGTCGGCTTTCTGGCGGCGTTTAAATGAGCCATGAAAGCCTACATTTGACGTATTTATGTTATTATATTTATATAGAGATGGAGAGGAGGAGAAGGATGAGAGGAAGGTGCAGGGAAGTATATTAATAATCTTGTAATATATAGAGATGGAGAGAAAGAGAAGGTTGAGAGGAAGGTGCAAGGAATTATATTAAAACTCCTGTATTATATAGAGATGGAGAGGAGGAGAAGGTTGAGAGGAAGGTGCAGGGAAGTATATTAAAACTCCTGTATTATATAGAGATGGAGAGGAGGAGAAGGTTGAGAGGAAGGGATGGGGAAGTATATTAATAATCTTGTAATATATAGAGATGGAGAGGAGGAGAAGGTTGAGAGGAAGGTGCGGGGAAGTATCGCCAACTCAACCTACTTTAACCAAGTTATCAGAGTTAGCTGGAATATTATAGGTGAAATATAAATATTTTATTTTCCTTATTTTTATGTAATTCGTAGTAAAAAGCCTGCGAAATCATGTTACAAAGATATTGGATTAGAGTAGAAAAACCTAATTTTGGGTTGAGTCGGTTTCATTCATGATATTTCAGAAGCTGAGATCTTGAGTAATGAGAGGTTTGAGCTTGGTCATGATATTGAACGGTTCTATGATTTAAACCAACAGTTGACTATGGATGATCTTGCACGCAGAAAATTCACACATTCACAGGTATTATTGCAGGCTTTTTTGAGGCCCTTTTTAAACATTCATCGTTTTATATTTTTATGAGGCTCAACAAGAATCATAAATGTTAAATCTGTGTCAAAATTGTCAAGTTTGATAAGTTTGCTTTTTAACATTAGGCCAAAATTTCATTCCAACCAAAAGATTTTTCAAAATGGTTATCACGTCAATTTAAAAATCGATTTGGCTAATATCTTTGGAATCCAATTTTGATGTACAGCTTACATTCTTTTGGAGCATCTTTAAAATAAGCCTAAAAGCCTGAAATATTCAAAAATTGACCTTAACCTTATCCCGATGGGGGGGGGGTCTTTTCCAACCCCTGCCCCATGGTTTCTTCTTAAAAACGGCTTACATTTGAACGCTAAAACTTCTTTCTTCACTTTTTCAACAATTAGTTGTACAAAAATTTAGCTTAACAATTTTTATTGATGCATAGGGTAAGGTGAGGGACGTTAAAACGGCGGATTGGTGTTTCAAAAACAATCAGAAATAGTTAATAACTTTTTTATCAATTAAGCTGCAGGACTTTGGTGTATTTATTTGAATAGACCTTGAAAAATGGATATTAAAACATGTGTCATATGTTAACATATTATTAAAAGTAAAAATAACTATTTTTGAAAAATCTTTAGACATACTTTTTGAACTTTTTAATAATCCTCCCTTGCACCCAAACCATTAAAGTTGAGGTCTATTTTTTTATGAGCAGGCCTTGAACAGTTTAACTATGGACATATATCACACTCCCCTATCTCAACTCTAAGGGCAAAATCATAGGGGGGGGGAAACACTCCCTCCCCCCATCTTTATTAGACAAAAATAGCCCAATCGGGTTTAAATGACTCTGAAAACTATCCCCATACCTATTCACTTTTTTATAAATAGATTATTTAGAGGGGAGTAATAAGATATATAATTCAATATATAATTAATAAAGTATAATAACAAAAATAATAATAATGATAATAATATATAATTCATATTTTTAAAAAATCTTAAAATTATACCATTCTTACACTTTATTCAATATTTCAAACTATGAATTATGTTAGATCAAAGAATCTAAGTTTGACATATCAAAGGTATACGACATTGGGTTGAAATGATATAGGGATTAGAAAATATGAGTATTTGGCAAAGACTCAATTCCTTTGATTTTGCCGTTTTGTCAGTTAAAAAACATCTAAACATTTTTATCATATAAATAAACGAAAATATTTTATGTATTCATATCATAATAATATATATTATCTATATGAATTTGATATATACATGTACTTTTTACAATTATATTTATGATAAATTACAAAAATCCTAAAATTATATTATCAATACACCTAATTTGATTGTATTCAATATAGAACAGCAAACTCGGCTCAGCTCAGAAGTTCGTAATAAGATTTCGATACCACTGGAGACCACCGGATCATTTTCACTGGAGGAGTTTGAAAATCGCTAATTAAAATTTGAAACTGTATGCAGGGTTATTCTTCTGGAGGGATTCAGATATTCATCCATGTAGCAAAACTTGGGGCCTATTGTAACCTACATCATACCCCTTTAATATAGAAATTACTCAAATCCTTTAATGCGATTAAAACCATTCCATGTTCGTAGATAGAGCATTCGAAGTAGTCCGTGTTCTCGTTGAAACATACGAGTGTAGATCTTGCTAATTGTTTTAGCATTGATTCGAGCTACTGTCTAATTGACATCGATTGTGCAATTTGGCATTCAATCGAATATAGCTTGAAAGATAGCTTGGATCCTCGTTGAATTATATGAGTAAAGATATGGTTTGTGCACAAGCCTGAGATTTAGTCCTATATTATTGGATGCTTGTGTTCCTATGTATGGTATTTAGAGCCCGTCCATGGTTGAATATAGAGTCTAAGCTTTAGTCCTATATTATTGGATGCTTGTGTCCCTGTGTGGTATTTAGAGCCGGTCCATGGTTGAATATAGAGTCTGATCTTTTGTCCTATACATCAGGATGTGTCTATAGAGAGGGGCCGTCCCTTTCTGCTCAAATTTTGAACGAAAAATCAGCTTTTTCTCCAGCCACAGTTGTCTTTGAAAAGTAAGACTAAAACCATATCAACAGCAAATAGGCTGTTTAGTTTACCCTGAAATTACCCAAATTATTGAACGGTCCCTTTAAAAAAAACTGTTAGTAATTACTGCAATGCAAACTTTTATTGTATTTTAATTAAGAAATTTTTAGTTTTATTTTCTGCCATTTACAAATTCGGAAAATTTAACGTTTAATTATTTTCAATTACTATTTATATTTAATGAAAGCTTTAAATTTTCAGGATTTAAAGAGCAGTTGACTTTTAATAATAGATTTGAGTTAAACGAGATTTAAAATAAAGTCTTTAGCAAATTTCTTCCAAAAAGATTTGAAATAGCCAAATAAAGTCCAATATAACTTTTCATTCATGATATTAAACATATTTTTAGATAAAAAAATTATTTTTGTGGTTTTTGTTTAGCTTTTGTACTTAGTCATATCTTTTTCTAAACTTTTAAACTTTTAAAAGGTTTTAAGTTGAAGAAAAGGAATTTAAATTTATTTAAAAAAAAGCTTAGAAGAGGACACAGAACTGTCAAAAGGATGGGGTTAGAAAACATTATCTTACACAGTAAACTATTTCCGGATATAATAATTAATTATATTGTTGACAATCCTTTTCAAATTGGATTTCAAACATGTGTTACATACTTTTATTCTCATCTCAAGCAAACATTGGATAATAAATATGTGTTGCCAAATTATTCCTAGGCTGGCATTTAATCATAGAGAATAGAATATATAGAGAGGAATTAACTAGAAAAAAGTGTAAAACGGCCATTTTGTTGTACTGTTTCCATACTGCAGGTGTACTTCACATATTTATGCTATATAACCTGTTGGGCCCAGGAATATCATTTTATAGAAAATCTAAAATTATTGTTAAAAGAAAACCAAATTATGAAATAGGCTGGTTTCATAATTGACCAATGATCATTTCACATAGACTCTATGCCTTTCACTTTACAAACGATGATTTTCCGTTATAACTATAAATCATATGATGTTTTTTATTCACCTAATTCATTATAAAGTTTATTTAACAGTTTAAAAAATTCGAAATTGAAATGAATAGTCTAGGGAACATACTGTATTAATGTACTCTACTGCATATAATTTGTGAACATTTACATGATTTGTACACTTTGAACTCCCTTTCAGTCTGAAAGGGACTGAAAAAATTCATACCGAGAGATTCTTTTAATTCCTCTCTATATATTCTATTCTCTATGCATTTTTTTTTTTAAACCAATTTTTATCATTTGCAATTAAACATTTCAGCAGGACATTTGTTTCTTGTTCCTTCCTCGTTTTGTTTCATTGGTTTATTATTTATCCAGAGCTCATATTTTAAAAGCTTAACCCAAGTATTGAAGGCCTCGAGCTCAGCTAAAACTAATGTCAGGATTGGTTCTGATTCGACCAATGAGAGACTGTTAAGAAAGCTTTCTCTCTGTAGTAGACAGATTAGCTGTGGAAAATAGATGAAAATTTCGAAAATTCTAATCTTACATTTATATATAATTTTTTATTTTTTTAAAATTTTTCATCCCTTTGATCAAAGGAATTAAGTCTTTGTCACAAACTCTGATTTTCTAATTCCTATACCTTTGCAGTCCAATGTTGTAGACATTTGCCATTTCAAACTATGACTTCTGTTAGATCAAATAATACAAGTTTGAAATATCAAAGGTTTAGGACATAGGGTTCAAAAGATATAGGTGTCACAAAATGCCAGTCTTCCCGAGTCAAGATTAACTACAGAAAACGCACTGTATTTCTGTCTTCTCTACCTAGGGTTTAAGCCAGGTCTCTTCAACGCAAGGTTTTACACTTAACTAACTATTTATTGACACATAAGGTTACAGGTCAAATAGGGTGACCGGCGTGACGGGCACCCAACTAGGACATATATATATATTTACGAGGTTCATGAACGATAAAGTTAATCTTTTATTTGGTTACGAAGTGTGCATGAAATGATGATAATAGTTATTAGAAGGAATATAGATAAGGTATCAGGTTTCCCTGATATAATACTCGGGAATATTTGTTACATAGGGATTAAAAAATCAGAATTTTTGGCCAGGACTTAATTCCTTTGACACTTCAAATAATTCCCAAGATTTTAAATGTACAAATATAATATTTTTTACAAAATTTACAATCATCAGCTTTTGAAGACCCGAGCCTTCAAGAGCGAAACCCCCAAGGCGGTTTGTTTTTTACTAAATCCAAGGCTATTCAAAACCTGAGTCTTAACTTGAGCTTTACTTGGGTCTAAGTAGACGCCAAAACCAGGTTTAAGCTTTTAAAATCTCAGTTGTGTATTAATTTAGGATTTTATGATGCAAATTTGTGTTTATGACGATTATATATGATTTTGACTGTGAGAAGGTGAAATTCATGTAACATTACTGGCACGCTTTGTGACCCTGAGCACGTATGAGAAAATCAATATAAAACGGTTTTTTTAACTCAATAGCTCTTTAACAGGAGGAGTTCAGATTAAACAATTAAGATTTCTATATAACGTGAAAGTTATCTTTAGTTTGAAGTGGTTTTGTCAATTCCCTTTTCACTTTTCAAACAACTAAAAACAATCTTGCATTTTATGCACAAACTTGTAGCAGAAAAAGCTGAATTTCTTAAATAAACCATTGTTGAGATACACATTCGAAATATTAAATCCAAACGTGGAATTCTAAGTTTGTTAAGCAAAAATATCTTTGATATCAAAGAAATTGAACACTTGAAAGAAATTTAAATTGGTAATTTCCTAAAGAACGATTTGCCTCAAAATCTAGTTGCGAAACTCAGTTTAACCATGCAAATGTATTTAGCCTGGTTAAAAAGATTAAGAGGTTGACTTTCATATTGAGAGTTCAGTTTTCCGACAAAACTGGGTCCCAAAATTTTATCTATTTAATTTGGTTAATTTTATTTGAAATCTGTATTTGCAATTAATTGTTTTACCGCCTTTTCAACACCATTAACGACCTATGACTTCCCCAACGGAGGGAGGTTCAGTTACATTACAACCCTTGGGAAAATAAAGTAAAATAACGAAAATTCGCGCATTTTCATCTCAAAAGACGATAAATTATGTACAACTACTTTTTCGGGAAATAATTTTTTTACTAAACGGGTAACCTCAACCAATTTTTCCTACTAAACATCCCTTGCTTAGCTCTATAGATGTTTTGCATGCCAAATAGGTCTTGGGAACCCTTGGTAACCCTTGGAAACCCTTGGGAACCCTTGGTAACCCTTGGGAACCCTTGGTAACCCTTGGTAACCCTTGGGAACCCTTGGGAACCCTTGGTAAAGTAAAATTTCCTTTACTTCCCTGTAAAGTAGTAGTAAATAATTATAAAAATCCCTAAATTCATAAAGTTCTTTTGATTGTTATTATTATACTTGAATATTGAAATGGAATTACTGCAACAATAATGTTGAAAATTGAGAACAGTTTTATTTCGGAACAAGGAAAGAAAAATCTACCTTCATTTGTCAAGAATATATTTAAAAAGTCATTAACAATCGTTACCACCTTTCATTTCTCGAATCTAATTAACTGTACAATTCGCTTTTCTATATAGCTAATTATATTTATTTAAAAAAAGGTCTTTTCTTACGCATAAAATATTGTGATTATTACACGTAAAACTTTTGTGATATTTAATAACCTTACGAAAATGAAAATATTTTGTTTAAAAAAGAAATGGACGAGAATTTACAACCATTAATGAAAAAAAAATACAAATAATAACTATAAAATAATGATACATAAATTTCAGGTCTGCCTAGTACGAGTTATAGGACGACTCGTCAAGTAAGTTAATTTTCATATTTTTTTACAAAGACTTTTTAAATATTACAAAAAAAATTCTCATCCCTAATCTTCTCGAAAATATATAATAGTATTTACTGGCTGCAAGGTTACATTAGGGATATGGTTCACAAGAGTCTGATCTTTAGTCCTATATTATTGGATGCTTGTGTCCCTGTGTGGTATTTAGAGCCAGGGTCTAAATATTATGTATCCCTGGCATCTTGTTAAATGATGCATTTTTAGAAGGCTCTTTTTATATGCAGCTAAAATCTGTAGAATCTTTAAAAATCTAAAATCAAGTTAAATGTTTGCAAACCAATATTGTTTACGACATAAAATTGTTTATTTTCGTTACATAGGGATGGGCAATTTCGTTTTTTTCAAAAGTCGTTTTCAAAATTTTTGGAAAATTTGAAAATGGTCGTTTTGAAAAATTTCAAAATGATAATTTTGAAAAGTTGTCGTTTTTAAAAAAGAAATTCATTTTAAATCAGAAACTTTTATTTTCGTAAACCTTCGTTTTCCACTTTAAAACGAACTAAATGACATTTTTTTTCGTTTCCCGTTTCAAAGCAGAAAAACGATCTTTTTTCGTTTTCTATTTGAAAATGAAAAGCAATATTTTTCGTTTACGTTTAACACAAATTTTTTGGTTTTAAAACGGAAAACGATGTTGGTGAACTTGTTACTCCACAGAGACTTTTAACTTTTTTCCGTGGACTTTTAAACATGATAAATAGCAATTTAAAATGTTTGTGTAAAACATGCCAATATCACATTCAGACGATTTCCCATGAAAGCAGATCAAGTTGGACATCGCCTTTTCCGTCTTTTTAAAACTTAAAAGTTTGGTTTTTAAAGATTTCATATAATTCAAAATTTCATTTTTAAGAAATGTATTTCATGAAATTATGCAAAATTTAAATTCGGCACTTAAAAACTTTAAAGACGACATTAAATTAAAAACTTTAAAGACGACATTACATTCTTTAACACTGATGTTCATGAAGGCTAAACTTTGTCGGTGAATTCAATTTAAAAGTTAATGATTTCTTCTTTTTGAAAAGAACAACTTTGTTAATTGTCCGTTTTAGATTTGAAAATCGTTTCAGGTTTTTTTAAAAACGATTTTCTTCAACCGAATTCCGTGTTGAACTTGAAAATTACAAAATGATCATTTTAAAAATCAATCGTTTCGCATTGAGCAAAATGATTCCCAAAATTGACAGTCATAACGGACAACAATAGTTTTGGGTACAGTGATAACCAGAAAACTGCAGAATAGGAAGACGACATTATAGCAATTCTGAAGTGCATTTGATGTTGTTTAAAGCAAATAGCTTTACTTGAAAGTTATAAAATTACTTATTAAATCAAATGGGTCTGTTTACAATGAACATTTGCTGTGCTTCATGTTCAATGTGGTAGTAAAAGTCATAACTTGAGTTTAAAAGTCGACTTCCTATTCCAAAGTTTTCTGGTTATCACTGTAAAAAAAATCCAAAGCGAAGCTCATCTCTAGTTACAAATCTAAAATGTTCTTATATGAAAAGTACTAGAAAAATGGAAGCAATAACATGTGTCACATTTTACCGTTTATCAAAAATAAAAATTTAAATATATTCCAACGTTTTCCAGACGTACTTTTTAACCCCCTTTTTATGTAATCCCTCCCTTGCACCCAAACCATTGAAGGTAGAGGTATCCAACTATCCAACTCTAAGGGAAAAATCTGGAATCAATCTCCACCACCCCATCTATATATATTAGACAAAAATAGCCTCTGGTTAAACGGGGGATAAAAAGTAGAAGCTAAAATTAAGTGAATTAAAATTATTATATTTTTTGTACGTTTTTAATTAATTTTATTGTGCTCCGAAGCTTATTGTTTAGATCCTAATAAATATCCTTTAGGGTATCCACTTACTTGGACAAAAATACAAAACAATAAGTGAAATTCCTGCTGACAATTTAGTTAAAAAATTTTAAAAACTTTATATTGCTATTTGTGAAAATTAAAAACAAAAAAAACTTTGTTTGCGAATATTAAAAGGGTCTTTAAGTGTAATTATAAGTGACCCTCCATGAAAAGATAACAATTCCCGATTCACAACGATACCTTTGAAACGTTAATCTGTTTAAAAATGTGATAGATTTTGTCGTTTTTTAAGCTTAACAAATTCTAATTCTATATATGTTAATATTTCCTGCTGTAGAAATCCGCAAGTTTCTTTAAAAAATATTCTTTTATTTTTTGTTGTTTTTAGAAATCTAGATGATCCTGGATCTGTTGAACACTATCTACGATGTGTTGGTAGATTGCATCAGTTAGCAGGTCAACTTCCAACCTAGTAGGAGATAGGAGGGGAGGGTCAAGGTACTAATGCAAGGAAAGTTATTTGAGAGGTGTACGCATTTTTTGTACTGCAGTGTACTGTGTTGGGCGGAAAAGTAAACACAAGACGGATGTCGAAGCCTGACATGGAATCCATTTTCACAAAAATACTAGGAAACTATTATGTAAATTTTCAAAATTATCAAAATTAAATGTTTTTATCCTCCTCGGATACTGAACGAACACTGATGCATCTATTCTTGTTTACAAAGTCCGCCCAGAGAGAGCTGGTTTCAAATGGTACGCAGAGTATACGTAACTGCAATTAACTTTCCTTGCATCAGTACCTTGGGAAGGGTAAACATTTTTAATACAATCGAAAAAAGTTTAAAATGTCATCACTATCGCTTTTCTTCTTAAAATCTATTAAACTAAAAAATAATTGTTTAAAAATATTAGTTTTTTATTGCAGTGATGGATATTAGTTTTCATATAATAGGGGTAGATATTAGTTTTCATATAAAAGGGGTGGATATTAGTTTTCATGTAATAGGGGTGATATTAGTTTTCATATAATAGGGATGGATATTAGTTTTCATATAATAGGGATGGATATTAGTTTTCATATAAAAGGGGTGGATATTAGTTTTCATATAAAAGGGGTGGATATTAGTTTTCATATAAAAGGGGTGGATATTAGTTTTCATATGAAAGGGGTGGATATTAGTTTTCATATGAAAGGGGTGGATATTAGTTTTCATGTAATAGGGATTGATTTTAGTTTTCATAAAACAGGGGTAGATATTAGTTTACATATTACTGGGGTGAATATTAGTTTTCATATTTTGGGTTTAATATTGCAGGGGTAGATATATAGTTTTCATATTGCAATGGTAGATATTAGTTTTCATATTACAGGAGTTGATATTAGTTTTCATATTACAGGGGTTGATATAGAGTTTCTGGATATATCTGGTAAAGCCTTCTGTAAAGCGCTGGATAGCATAGAACAGCATAGAGAACTGTGGTCGCCACAGGTATATGGGAATTTATTTTTCAAAAGTAATAAATGTCGACATTTTTTGGAGCAACATTTTTCAATAACTGTCATTTAGCCAAAATCAGCTGATTTACTATCGTTCGTCTTCCTTCTTCAAATAAATTGTAGAGAATGCTCCTCCTCCTACAGGCTGCATTTACAGCAGGAGGAAAAAGAATTTTTCAAATAGATTCTAGTACAATAGATGGCAACGTAGAATTTGTACACTCTCAGTACAGTTGTATTCTGACGTCACAAGTGTCAACTCAGTTTTTGTGTCCGACAAAATAATCAATAATAGTGGTAATTTTAGAATAAAGTGCTTTTCTTACAATAAAATAGGTGCAATTTTATGTGTTCTGTTTTTACACTTTTTTATTTAATCTTGGAAACATGTCAACAATGTGAGACAATTTCGTTTTCCTTGTTATATTTGACACTTGTGACGTTGTTTATAATTGGTTCATTTCTCTGTTGCCACTTTTGTACTTGATAATCTATTTGGAATTTTTAAATTATGTTCCTCCTGATTCAAGAAAATGAGAAAGAAACACGATGAAAACTCCAAAAAAAGTCAATTGCTTAAATTTGCAACTAATAAAATTTTATATATTCTTTAGGTGAAAGCGACGTGGAACCTGTTTTTTATCATGATTGTCCGGGTTATGAAGGTAAACGTATTTTTATCTAATCATCTTTTATCTAATCGTCTTTTATCTAATCATCTTTTATCTAAACCTCTTCTTATCTAATCCTCTTCTTATCTAATCATCTTTTATCTAATCATCTTTTATCTAAACCTCTTCTTATCTAATCCTCTTCTTATCTAATCCTCTTCTTATCTAATCATCTTTTATCTAATCATCTTTTATCTAAACTTCTTTTATCCAAACTTCTTTTATCTAAACCTCTTTTTATCTAAGCCTATTTTTATCTAAACTTCTTTTTGTATCATGATAGTCTCTGTTAGGAAAGTATCTATACTTTTCTCTAACCCTATTTTATCATGGCAGTCTCCTGGTTTATGTAGGCTAGCAAAAAAAAAATTGAATTTTCTAGAAATGCCGGAATTTCTAGAATGTTTGTTATTACAATTCTTACAGCCGAGCTTCATTGAGAAATATGAGATCCCTGATTTCTAATATTTGTTCTGAGTAATTGTACTAAATATTGTTAAAGGGGTTGCACTTTTTGAAAAAAAAGAGATATAATGCCATCTCTTTCAGAAGTAGTGTATTTTTCTATATAATACATTATCTGAACATTTTCATTTAATCTTTTTTTGTAATTATTTGGTATTTTTTTGTTTTTATTATTTTAGGAAGGATACGATGAGCATGTTTATTCTAAGCTTTGCTCCCTCTCGTTTGAACACAGGTATTGTTCTATGTGCGATGTACTTTAAACGACTTTGGAAGCTAGATGTCTCTGATCTCGACATTTCCGGAATCTCAGTTGGAAGAGACACCTAGCGGCAAAAAAATGGTCGTTTAAAATAAATCCCAGGAAACAGGACAGTCGGTGAATAGTTTTAAATGTCTTCTTCCATAATTTGTTAAGTTCTTTAATACCAAAGAGAATAATTAAAACATCGTTTGGTAGTATTATTATAATAAAGTTGATTTCAAAGCAAAATATAATTGAGTAAAAGATTTTTTGCAAAATAAACTGGAAAAAGTCTTTAAAATATAGTAATTGATATGGAAGAAGACATTCAAAACTATTCACCAACTCTCATGTTTCGTCGGACACACTGTATATATAAAAAATATATATAATCTATGTACTGCACTATTGCTATTTTTTAGAAACCTTGTAACTGATGTGTTAAGTGCACTGTTATAGTGTAATGTACTATTGTTATTGTTTAAAAACCGTGTAACTGTTGTATAAATTATACTGTAGTGTACTAATCTGTTGTTATGGGATAGAAAGATTGTAACTGTTGTTTGGGGTGTACTATAACGTACTGTTATGTACTGTACTATTGTTATTGTTTAGAAACCTGGTAACTACTATGTATAGTGTAATGTAGTGTAACTGTGTATTGCACTATTAATATTGTTTAGAATCCTTGTAACTGACGTATGGAGTGTACTGTAGTGTACTATAATATTGTTATTGTTTAGAAACCATAACTGATTTTAAAGTGAACTGTAGTGTACTGTACTAAATTTTTATTGCTTAGAAACCTTGAATCTGATGTAAATAGTGTACTGTAGTGTACCGAACTATTGTTATTGTTCAGACATCTTGTAACTGATGTATGGAGTGTACTATAGTGTACTGCACTCTTATTATTGTTTAGAGACCTTGTAACTGATGATGTGTAAAGTGTACTGTAGTGTACTGCACTATTGTTATTGTTAAAATCCTTGTAACTGATGGATGGGGTGTACTGTAGTGTACTGCACTATTGTTATTGTTAAAAACCTTGTAACTGATGGATGGGGTGTACTGTAGTGCACTGTACTATTGTTATTGTTTAGAAACCTTGTAACTGATGTGTGAAGTTTATTATATAGTGTACTGCACTTTTGTTATTGTTTAGAAACCTTGTAACTGATGGGTTAAGTGTACTTTATAGTGTACTGCACTATTGTTATTGTTTGGAGTGTATTGTAGTGTACTGCACGTTATTTTTTAGAAACCTTGTAAATGATGTGTAATTGTACTTTATAGTGTACTGCACTATTGTTATTGTTTAGAAACCTTGTAACTGATGTTTGGAGTGTATTGTAGTGTACTGCACGTTATTGTTTAGAAACCTTGTAAATGATGTGTAATTGTACTTTATAGTGTACTGAACTATTGTTATTGTTTAGAAACCTTGTAACTGATGTGTGGAGTGTACTGCAAGAAAATGCTATCAAATATGTCAGTAATACAATGTTTCTACCTTTAATTGTCAGGTAAAGCTAACCAAACAAATAAAGCCTTATTTCATTTTTTTTAAAGTGCAAAAAAGCTAATATTAAACAGACAGCAAACCTCAGGTACCTTAATAATACATAATTAAACCTCAGGTACCTTAATAATACATAATCAAACCTCAGATACCTTAATAACACATAATTAAACCTCAGGTACCTTAATAAAATTGAAGTTTAAAAACGCCCATTTCTACAATTCTTTAAAACTATCTATTTATAAATTGTTATTTCCGAGAATCCAGTTTCTCCAAAGAAAAGGTTCAGAAAATGTATTTCCTTAATCTTTTTCTGAGAATGTAATACATTGTGTTTGTAATGTATGATACCAATGAAAAAATGTAAATATTTTATTCTTTTTCGAACTCAAAACATATATAAAATATACATAGTAAAAGGCGTTCCTTGTCACTACTCTTTTTCTAACTCAAATTTCGTTTTTGTTGGGTTTCTGTATCATCTTCTAGACAAAGAAATTGAGTCTTTGCCACAAGCTCAATTTTTTAATCACTTTAATACTCATATTCAACTAAATTTTTTGAAACCTAGAGGGCCTACCCGGCTTAATATTTTTTTTTTTTTTGATAGTGTATTTTGAACTTTTTGACTTGAAGAAAAACGGTTTAGGTATATTTTCTTTTATATTGAAATGCAAACCTAATTTTCTTGTCCGATATACTATGAATATAATATGTTGAGTAAAATTTCAATTAAAATATTTGGCAGTTTTTATTGGAATTTTCTCTTTAAAGGGACTGTACATGTATTTTTGAATAATATTCATGAAATTATGGCACTGTCCGATTTGCAACGGTACCCTTGAAACCTTAAACGGATCAAAAATGTGGAAGATATTGTCGTTTTTCTCGAAAAGTGTTTCTACTACATTTCCAGAGAAACCGCAAATGAAAATAAACATTTTAAAGAAACATTCAATCTATTCCATACTTGATCAGAAAAAATTTTCAAGTGTACCCTTGTATATTAGGCATTGCCATCTTTGCATGGAGGGTCACTTGAAATTACGCTTACAGTCCCTTTAATGAGTGGTAAATTAACCGTTAGTTATCTGTGACTTTTGTTAACCCTATTCCTGCTGGGGGGGGGTCAATTTGACCCCCCCCCCATGTAGTTTTTTTTACATAACTCAAAAAGTATTGGTCTGAGGCTGTTGAAATTTTCTGACTTTTCCTACATACCCAAAGCCCTCCCTTTAGGCCTAAAACTTAATACTAACTGCCTGAGTCCTCAGGCACACTGCCTGAATGACTCCTTTTTCCTGTAACAAACTAAATCTTTGTTTTGACCTACGTCCACTTGTCAGATTTTGATACAATTTAGCGTTTTGGAAAGCCTTTGACATAAGGAAACGAATTGCACAAGTTTTGCGAAAAAAAATTGCAAATTTTTAGCAGATTCTAAAAGTAGAGAACAAGAGCTTTCCAATGATGTATCATTGGTCATATTTGGACATCAAACATGGGATCTAGAGGGGGGGGTCAAATTGAACCCCCCCCCCAGCATATCCTGGTTTTCAAGTACCCCAGCAGAGATAGGGTTTATAAAGTCAGCTTAGTAAATTTTTTTTGCCACTGATATTGCATGTTGTTTCTTTATTTTGGATCAAAATAACCCCCCTCCCTTCAAAACTTTAATTTTCCTTCCCCCTTATATATTAATCAAATGTTGGCACAGCTTGCTTTGATGGTCAACGATATCAAATTTTAAAATAATATTTGACCAGATTACAATTTATAAATTGAAATGAAAACAGAGCTGAACACTTTAGAATGAGATATCCTTAATCCCGATTACTTAATCTGAGTATCCTATGGACACATTCTTGATTTTCTTCTTAAACCGTTCTTTCTTGGATATAATAGAGAAAACTCAAAAACCATCTTTTTAAATTAGGGAGTCCCTCCCGTTGCTGTATATTATTTTGAATGAAGCGCAAAATTTCTAATTTATAGGCGTCATATATGCGACTCTGATTGGTTGAATTGTATACACTTCTCAGGGATACAAGTACAAGATTAGGTTAGTCTCGATATTAAGAAAAAGAGAGGATCATGTAATTTTCGTTGTTTTTACCACCAAGAATTAAACACACTCTAATTTTTCATTAATTCAATATAACATATGTCAAAGTAAAGATTTATTTGACACAAAATGATGATGGGTGTCTAGGGGCGGGGGGAGAAGGGGTATTTTTGTGTTTACAGCAATGCCATCTTAAATCTATTTCATTCAAATAATTTTCCTAAGCGCTGAAGTCACCACATTATGGGGTAACTATATTGATGCAGTGGTCCCCGTTTATATCAATACAATAAAAACCACTGTCTTGTTAAACTTGGATTTCTTTCAAGCTTGTTTCAAATAACAAGTTTACAAGTTAACAAATAAATGCTGGTAAAGGGAGTGACCGGCTATGTAAGTATTAAAGGGAGTGACCTACTATGCAAGGTAGTTGAACTGAGTATGCAGTGTTGTGGAAAACGTCTGAAAACATATCCACCCCCAAAGTAGGAGTTTTGAACTTCGAATTTGCGCTCAAACTCATGATTTACAGATCTTTAAAAAGTTTAATATGTCTCAAATGAACCCGAAAGAAGCTTCCCACAATACTTACATACTCAGTTCACTACCTTACATAGCCGGTCACTCCCTTTAATTGACATCTTTTGTTTTCATGTTTACACATAAACATGAAAGCTTGGAAGAGAAAAAATCTAAATTGAAAGTTGTCTTCATTGTGTTGATACTTTACATATTATTTATCAATAGATTAGAAATGAAGAACGTAAATTAAAATTCAGATTATCTAAACATGACCATTGTTATTGTTAAAAACCTTGTAACTGATGGATGGGGTGTACTGTAGTGCACTGTACTATTGTTATTGTTTAGAAACCTTGAAAGGGGTGGATATTAGTTTTCATATGAAAGGGGTGGATATTAGTTTTCATATAAAAGGGGTGGATATTAGTTTTCATATGAAAGGGGTGGATATTAGTTTTCATATGAAAGGGGTGGATATAAAATGTATTTTTACAAAAGACTGAAGACGTCATTTTACAATAGAAAATAGAAATAACTCCCAGTAAGGTTTATGAGCGTTATTTGAAAGTACGTCTACAGCCCTTGGTCATCAATCTGTGTCTTGTGATAATTAAAAATGTCTGTAAACTAATAAAACCCTAACACGATGAGGGGGGGGGGGTCCGGGCGTGTTGTCCCCCCATCTATATTAGACAAAAATAGCCCAATCGGGATATGGGTAAATATTCTAAACGGATACCTGCTTAGTGCTTTAGCTTTCAACATTCTATGTCAATGTCAAAATAATATATTAAATGTTAACAATTGTTTCGTAAAATTTTAATTCTTATTTTTGTTAAATTTTAAAGATTAAAACCTTTCTCTGAAAACCCAAAAACTGTCCACTTTTTGAACAACTTTTATTTCTGTTTCCATTCTTTTTATTAATTTTTGTTCTAAGGTTCTTGTTCGGGTTTTCCCTCATTTGGAACAACTAGAACTAGTGTTCCCGTACCTTAGAGAACTGGGAGCGATTCATCAAAAACATGGCGTTAAACGTCATCATATAGACTTAGGTCAGTCAATAGTCACCACATGATTGGAACATTGTTTTGTTGTGGACATGTTTGGGACTTTTTTTAGTTTTGGAAATATTTGTGACATTTTTAAATTGTGAACGTGTTTGGGACATTTTTTAATTGTAGACATGTTATGATGTTAGGGACTTTTTTTAGTTGTGGACATGTTTGGAACATTTTTTTAGTTGTAGACATGTTTGTGACATATTTTAAATTGTTGACATGTTTGAGGCATTTTTATTTGTGGACATGTTAAGAACATTTTATTTGTTGTGGACATGTTTGTGACATTTTTTAAACTGTTGACATGTTTGTAACGTTGATTAATTGTGGACATGTTTGGAATATTTTTTGAGTTGTGAACATGTTTGGAACATTTTTGAGAAATTTTGAGAAACCACACCTTCCATACAGGGATAGATATATTTAAAAGGACGACAAATTTTGAAAAATTTAACTTTTTCTTGAATTAATGATCTAACAATAAAAATTAAAGAAATACAGTTATTGTTTTGTCATATTTTGGAATTTAAAGACATTTGACTTTTAGTTGGTTTGGCGTACTGCTGGGCAATTCGTGCAGTAATACAAGGAACTGGTGTTAAAGGAGGTCCTCTGCATGATACTACAAAGGTAAGGAGGTCCTCTGCATGATACTACAAAGGTAAGGAGGTCCTCTGCATGATACTACAAAGGTAAAGGAGGTCCTCTGAATGATACTACAAAGAAGGAGGTGCTCTGCATGATACTACAAAGGTAAAGGAGGTCCTCTGCATGATACTACAAATGTAAAGGAGATCCTCTGCATAATACTACAAAGGTAAAGGAGGTCCTCTGCATGATACTGCAAAGGTAAAGGAGGGCCCCTTGCATGATACTCCGAAGGTAAAGATGGTCCTTTGCATGATACTACAAAGGTAAAGGAGGCCCTCTGCATGATACTACAAAGGTAAAGGAGGTCCTCTGCATGATACTACAAAGGTAAAGGAGGCTCTCTGCATGATCCTACAAAGGTAAAGGAGGTCCTCTGCATGATACTGCAAAGGTAAAGGAGGTCCTCTGCATGATACTACAAAGGTAAAGGAGGTCCTCTGCATGATACTGCAAAGGTAAAGGAGGCTCTCTGCATGATACTACAAAGGTAAAGGAGGCCCTCTGCATGATACTACAAAGGTAAAGGAGGTCCTCTGCATGATACTACAAAGGTAAGGAGGTACTCTGCATGATACTACAAAGGTAAGGAGGTCCTCTGCATGATACTACAAAGAAAAGGAGGTCCTCTGCATGATACTGCAAAGGTAAAGGATGTCCTCTGCATGATACTGCAAAGGTAAAGGAGGCTCTCTGCATTATACTACAAAGGTAAAGGAGGTCCTCTGCATGATACTGCAAAGGTAAAGGAGGTCCTCTGCATGATACTACAAAGGTAAAGGAGGTCCTCTGAATGATAC